ACATTTCTATAACATATGCTGTTAAGGAGTGCTGGCTAAATCTGCAAAAATTTCTTGTCATTGAAAAAGAAAAATGAGTAAAACTTAGTGTCACATATTGAGTTTACTGAGTTAATAAAATGCATGACTCTGTAGTAACACTGAAGGAGTCCTGGAGTACAATGGCCAAGGGCTCACTGCTATCCAAAATGCTGGTGGTTCAGAACCACCCAGCAGGTCCATGGGATAAAGACCTGGTGATCTGCTTCCGTGAAGATTACAGCCAAGAACAAGATATGGGGTAGTTCTACTCTGCCATGTGGCGTCACTAAGAAAGATTAACTAGATGGCACCCAACAGCAGCATAGTAATAAACAAAAATCATACTACTGAGTGAAACACAAGCAAAGTGCCGTATAACATACAGAGTGTGAAATAATTTATGTAAAGGGGATTCTGTAAAATAATGTCACCCAGTGTGCAAAGATACACATATGAGTATGCAAAACCTGAGGATTTGGAAGGAAGAACACACATAAGTTCATGACAATGGCATCTGAGAGGCAAGACAGAGGTCTGTGGCTACACAATGGGGATAAGGACACTTCAACTTATTTCATATTAGTTTGTTTCCTTTATATAAAAAAGAAAAAAAGAAAGAAAAAAAAAACCCAAACACCTCAAAACCAACAACAAATGTTAACAACAAAATATCATTTTCAGATGGTGGGGGAAGGAGCTTTTTATAGCATTCTTTTCTGCATTTAAAAAAATCTCAGAATAAGAGTAGAAGGGCTGTGTATGCACAGGGAGACAGCTCAGGGGGCAGGAGTGCATGGGAGGGAAGGACACAGGGAAGAGGTGGCTATGGGGAGGAAGTGGGAGGAGAGCTGTTGCATTGCAGAAGACTGCAGTCAATGTCATGAGAAAATGTGTATGTGAACTGCTGTATGGAAGATGAATTTGCTCTGTAAACTTTCACCTAAATCATAATTTAAAAAAAAAAAATCTCAGAATAAGTCAAAGTTGGGAGCAGCAATGCCCTAGGTAGGTGTATGGTAACAGTGCTTCTTCCTGCAGGTGAAGGGTCAGGAGGCACTGGAGGTGACACTGAGAAAATGAGGCAGTCTAACCCATGAAGGTCTCTATGGTGTAGCTCTGTGCTGTCCAATATGGTAGCCACACACACAAAAAAAGAAAACAAACCCATTGCTGTCGAGTTGATTCCAACTCACAGCAACCCAATAGTACAGAGTAGAATTGCCCCATAGGGTTTCCAAGGCTGTAAACCTTTATGGAAGCAAAGCCCAAACCAAATCCATTGTCATCAATTGTTTTCAACTCACAGCAACCCTAGAGAACAGAGTAGAATTGCCCTATAGGATTTCCAAGGCTATAAATCTTTACAGAAGCAGAGTGCTTCATCTTTCTTCTATGGAGTGGCTGGTAAATTCAGACTGCTGACCTTTTGGTTAGCAGCCAAATGCCTTACCCATGGCACCACCAGAACTCCTTAGGTAGCCACCAGCCACATGCAACTACTGAATTTAAATGTAAATTAATTAAAATTACATATTGAATTTTGTACTCCATTACACTGGCCATGTTTCACCAGCTAAGTAGCCCCATGTGGAGAGCAGCTACAGTATGGGCCATGCAGATCTAGATCATGTCTATCACTGAGGTCAAGTGTACTGGATTGAGGTGGTCCAGAGAGAAATACCTGTCTTCTAAGCAACTAGAACACTTTTGGTCCTACTGTGCTCTTCCTATTATGTCTTCTGCACATAGAAAAACTAAGATACTGACTAGAAGCTATTTTTAATTTCTGGAAGTATTTTATCCACTATGGTCTTAAATTATGATTATGACCAAAGCAACAGGTACTTGTTCAAGAGTCTTTGATCCATAATGCTTATTTGCTATAAATTGGCCTCTGATCACTGCTTTTGCTGTGTCCCAAAGATTTTGGTATGTTGTGTTTTCATTCTCATTCGATTCAAGGAATTTTTTAATTTCATTATTTATTTCTTATGTTACCCAGTCATTCTTAAGGAGGGTGTTGTTCAGTTTCCATGTGTTTGCTCCTTTTTCATTGATCTTCCTATTGTGATTTCTAATTTTATAGCACTGTGATCTGAAAACATGCTTTGCAGTATTTCATTGTTTTTAAATTTGTTAAGGCTTGCTTTATAGCCTATCATATGGTCTATCATGGAGAATGTTCCATGTGCACTGGAAAAGAATGTTGTATATTGTCCTGTTGTTGGGTGAAGTGCTCTACAGATGTCTATGAGATCAAGTTGGTGGATTGTATTATTTAGCTCTTCTGCGTCTTTGTTGAGTTTCTTTCCAATTGTTCTATCTTTCATTGAAAGTGGCGTATTAAAGTCTCCTACGTTGACTGTGGAGTCATCTATTTGCCTTTTCAATTCTGGTATTCAATTTGATTCAAGTCTGATTTATGTATTTCTGGGCTCTTTCATTGGGTCCACAGATATTTATTATGGTTATATCTTCTTGTTCAATTGATCCTTTAATCATTACATAATGTCCTTCCTTGTCTCATTTGATTCAAGTCTGATTTATGTATTTTGGGGCTCTTTCATTGGGTCCACAGATATTTATTATATCTTTTTGTTCAATTTATTCTTTAATCATTACATAATGTCCTTCTTGGTTGGAAATTTTTTTTTTTCCATGTTTTATATATACCACCCCATTGCCTTCTCGCTTGCATGGTTTCTGTGAGAAATCAGAGCTTATTCTTATTGGGTGTCCTCTGTAAGTAACCTTTCACTTTTCCCATGCTGCTTTCAGGATTCTTTGTCTTTTGTTTTGATGAGCTGATGATGATATGTCTTGGTGATTTTCTTTTGGGGGTCTATCTGTTCGGGGTTCATTGGACTTCCTGAATGGATATATTCTCATCTTTCATCAAATCAGGGAAGTTCTCTTCCCAAAAATCTTGGGCAATTTTCTCAGTGGTTTTCTTTTTCTCTTCCTGTTCTGGAAATCTGCTTACACATAGGTTACTCCTTTTGATGATATCTCACATGAACTGTAGTCTTTCTTCATTTTGTTTTGATCTTTTTTTCTAATTGATGCCTTTCCAAAGAAGTATCCAGGTATTTGTCTTGAATCTCATTAACTGTCTTCCATTGATTCCATTCTACTCCTTTGCCCTTTCAATGTGTTATCTGTTTCTGAAAATTTAGTATTAATCTTCTGGATTCTATCTGTAGATCTTGAATCATTTCTAATTTTTCATTTATTTTGTCATGTTTTTCTTGTATTTTCTTCCAAAACTCTTGTAGGGTTTTGTCTGTGTTTTCCTTGATTTGTCTCTCCATACTTTGAAGACACCTAAGTATAATTCTTCTGAATTTCTTATCAGTGAGTTCCAATGCTGTTTCTTCCTCAGGGATTTGTTCTGAGTTTGTATCCTGCTCCCTTGTTTCCACTGCTTGATCTTGCTTCTTTGTATGGACTGTGATGGTCTATTGTCTCCAAGACATTGTGACATTGTTGTATTTAGATCTCTGATAACTACTGTGAAGAGTAGTTAAGGGTGAGTCAGGCTCTTCTTAGTGGGCATTTATTGTTGGTCAGTGGACAAAGAAGTGATGGCTGTCACTCAGTAAGTGGAGCTACAGGAGGTGTGGGTGTAGTTGTATCATATGGGCCTGGTTGCTGTCTCCCACTCAAGCAGACAAAAACAACATTCATAAAACCATCAAAAAAGTAAAGGCAAGCAGACAGAAAACACATCGCATAAACATACAGGAATAATCACCAAAAAGATAAAAGGAAAAAAAAAAAAAGGAAAGGCAATAAATGAGAGAAAATATTTAAAGAAATACTTTAAAAAGCCAAAAGAAATATGAATAGAAAAAGGCAGGGGAAAAAACCCTGTGATATCTGGGGAGGGGAAAATAAGAGAAAAGAGGTAGCACAGGAGAATAATTAAGGGAAAAATGCAAAAAGAAAAACAAGGAATGGGGAGAACCACAAGAAAGAAAAAAAATGGGAACCAGGAAAAGGGAAGAGAGAAAAAGCTGAAAACCAGAACCTGCAAAGGAAAGGAGAAAGAATAATAATAAAAAGGATGAAAATAATAATAATTATTATTTTAAAATAAACACACACATACTAACTAACTAAAAAAAAATATATATATAGGTGGGGTAGGGCACAACACCCAGGCTCTGTCAGAGCACACAGACTGGGATGGAATTCTTGCCAGCCCAGAAAGTGGGTGGAAGTGAAGGATGGCTGAACCTCTGTTCACCGAGAGGGCGTGGGGTATAAGAGTAATAAGCAGAATATCGCACTTTCCCAGTCCTCGGCGTCCAGTATGTTCTTGCAGTCCCTGGCAAGTGGAGCCTACTCTTAGGGCCCTGGAATCTGAGAGAATGCTGTCGCTTTAAATATCCAAAATGGTTGAACCACTTGTAAACATTCAAAATGGCTGCACCCTCCATACAGGCACAAGTCCACAGCTTACCCAGTCTCCCTCTTTGCTGCTTCTCCTTTTATTCACCCGGCACCAGTGCAGTCCTCCATGTAGCCCCTGGCTATCAGGGCTAATTTTCAGGTTAATTCTCAGGTCCTAGTACATCCAAGATGTCCATGCCATCAGGATTGCTGACAGACCACAGCTCCATATGTCTCCTTTTTTGTTGTCTTCGTGCAAGTTCTACTACTAGTTGGAGTTTAGTCCACTTCTGTATACTTCCTTTCAAAGCTCACGGATCCAGGATTATTTTCTGTATCTGTGTTCATTGGTTCCCCTTTTCTTGGTTGAAGAGGGTCTGTGTAGGTTGTCTGTCTATTCTGCCATCTTGCTGGAACCTGATCCATGATGTTTAGAAAGAGATCTAGCAATTAAACTTATAGTTAGACGAACATGTTTCATTTCCCACAAATTTAGGAAGATAGGCTGAGGAACAATGAAAGCATTAACCCAATGAAACTCAGACTTTGGATGCGATGATTTCCCAAGAGACTTTGTCTCTTACCTGTACACAGTATGAGGGATGTATACCTCCCTGATCAGGAATTCCAAGATCTCTTTGTGTGGACATGTTTGGTTTTCGGAAAATGGTCTCACTGGCAACATTTCAGGAGTCCGACAGTAGTTGAGTGTCTCTGGAGCTGAAGAAATTTCCAGTCTAAGCAAGCCTAAGGGGATAAACAGGATGTTTCAGTAAAGAAACTGCCATGTTACAAGGGAATTGGGAAAGGTTGCTGTACTCTGTATTCTATGAGATTAAGTATAGGCTGGGGGATTGTGAGAGTTTTGGAATTGCCAGGTATTTTCCTATAGTTTGCGGAAATGCATGTCATGGCCATGTTGGGGCTTTGGTTTCTATAAATCAGAAAGTAAGACATCGTAAAATGAGCAGGATGGAGTTGACCATCATTAACATCTCTTCTGGAACTGACACTCTATAACGGTGTGGTAGTTAAGGTTGTGTGTCAAGTTGGCTGGGCTGTGGTTTTAAATGGCTGGGCAGCTGGATGTAGTTACTCCCCATGATGAGACTGATGTGGTATAATCACCTCCATGGTAGAATCTGCTGTGAGAAGTTAATTAGTTGCCTTCAGGGTGTGGCCTGCTTCCAGTATATAAGCAGCAGCTTTGAGAAAGTTCTCTAGCTTTTTGGCACATCTGGATCCTGCATTTGGCCAAGTGTTCATCTCCAGTTCCTAGACTTGAACCAGTGGCTACTCTTGTTGCCCTCCAATCTTGGGATTGTTCCAGGACTTGAACTAGTGGTCTGCTGTGTTGCCTGATCTTGGGACTGTGCTATTTTATCTGCCAACCTTGGGTTCATCAGCCTCAGTATCTAGCAGCTGCCTGAGTTAGGAGATGCCTCTAGCTCCAAAGGGCCTAGAATGAGAGGCAGAGCTGAAGCCAAGGCCGAGCACCCAATCCCCTAGAGCTGGCATGCTGAATTTGGACTTCTAGCCTTCTAAACTGTAAGAGAATAAATTCCCGTTTGTTAAGCCATCCACATGTGGTATTTCTGTTATAGCTGCACTAGAGAAATAAGATAAATGGCGCACACTTATGTAGCTTCCATGCTTTTAAGCATTAAAAATTGGCAGTTTTCAAACTGAGTTCCCTGGTCCCCTAGAGTACTGCAGAAGTGTCTCAGGAGCCACTGAGCTGAGGTTGAGGAGAGTGTCCTCACCTTCTACCTGAGAACCTGAATTTTACTTATTTATGTTGATAAGAGCATTCCATATAATATCTCACTTGAGAAATATCTCACACAGGGGCTGGCCATGAGTCAGAACCAACACAATGACAGCTAGTTTAGTTTTCTGGTTGTTGTTCAAACAAATGGTTTGATCTGAGAGCCCTGATCTAAAGCATGGTCTTTATTGACAGAAACAATCTTTAAAAAAAAAAACGAAAACAGAAAACATTAATAGATTTGTTGAAAATGTAGACCATGTCATATTCTTCACCAATAAAGCAAAATCCCTTATTTCACTTTGCAGACATGATTTTATCAGTTTCAGCAGGAGACACGTAACATGTCTAATCCTCCAAGGTTCTGGTATGGTGGTAGAAGATAAAGATCAGTGCCCTCACCTGGAATTGACTTGACTCTTCTCTGCAAGGATGAAGGCATTTTGTAGTCAGCTAGAAACCTGAAGGAGTCTTCCTTGCTCAGGCGATCTCTCTCCTGCTAAGGACAGTGTGAGTTAAGGTTGTGTGTCATCTTGGCTGGGCCTGGTTGAGTGGTCGGGCAGCTGATGGTAGTTATTCCCCATGATGAGACTGGCAATCAACTCCATGGTGGGATCTACCATAATTAGCTGAGTAGCTGCTTTAGGGATGTGGTCTGCCTCCTGTAATATAAGCAGCAGCTTTGGGAATGGACTTTAATTTATGGCACGCCTAAACTCTGCATGTAGCTGAGTAGCTGTTCAGCAGTCTGCCATGCTCTGCTGATCTTGGGACTTTCAATGGACTTGAATTAGTGGCCTGCTGTGTTGTTTGGTAACATTGGGACTGTGCCTTTTTACTTGTCAACCTTGGGCTTAGCCGCCTCAGCAGCCAGCAGCTAAGTGAAGAAAAGCCTCCAGCTTCAGTGGACCAGGAGCAGGAGGCAAAGCTGAAGTCCAAGGTTGAGGGGCTTTCACCCAGCCCGTAGAGCTGGCACTTTGAACTCAGACTTAAAGCCTCCAAACTGTAAAAGAATAAACTCTGTTTGTTAAAGCCATTCTATTTGTGGTATATTCCTGTCAGAGTGGCACTAGGTAACCAAAACAGATGGCATGTTAGTGTAGACAAGCCAGGGACTCCTGAGTTACGGGCCAGCAGTGTCTGGGAAATCTTTTATCTTTAAGTTGTTTTCTAACCTGTCTTTCATAGATACTAGAATTGCAGGCAATTCTGAAATCATTTAATTCAGCCTCTTGTCAAATATTCCTTCTCTACCCCTCCCAACCTGCCGTCATCCAGCTTCTCATATGCCATTTCACTTCCAACAACCCAGGGAGCAAGCACCATTATCCCTTTGCAGATAATGACCTTGAGGCTTTGCTGCAAGCACCAGCCCCTCTCTCTGAATCACTACCTATACCACTTCTTAGAAATCCAGCACCCCTGCCAGATGGAGCCAAGTCCAGACACAATATACGTGGAGAGGTACTTGTTTGAAAAACCTGTTAATGATCATGGTGGTGGTTTTGAAGCTGGATCCAACCTCATTTTCCTCTAAGGACAGAGCTTGCTCAGAAAGCCTTCTGGATTGAGACAAAGTCTTTTGCTCACCCAAGGGAGAGCTTCTCCCTTCCATTCTACAGCATGCCCTTCTGTTTGAGAACACAAGTAACACAAGTTACTCCCTTCACCATAGAGACCAGGACCAGCTGCCGTTGAATCAACTCAGACACATGGCAACCCCGTGTGTGTCAGAGGAGAACTGTGCTCCATGGAGTTTTCATAGCTGTTTTCCTCAGATTGCCAGGCCTTTCTTCCAAGGCACCTCTGGGTGAACTAGAATCTCCAGCCTTTCAGTTAGCAGCCAAGTGCATTAACCATTTGCACCATCCAGGGACTCTTTTTATCATATATTGAATAAATTTAAAAAAAAAAAAAAAAACAGTACCATTGAGTTGATTCCAATGCACAGTGACCCTACAGGACAGAGTAGAACTGTCCCCATAGGGTTCCCAAGGCTGTGAATCTTTATGGAAGCAGACTGTCTCATCTTTCTCCTACAGAGTGGCAGGTGGGTTTGAACCACCAACCTTTTGGTTAGCAGATGAATGCCTTAACCATTGTGTCACCAGAACTCCTAGTATTATATATATGAGGTACATTTTAAGTCATTGAGAAGGAGCCCTGATGGCACAGTGGTTAAGTATTCAGCTGCTAACCAAAAGGTCATCAATTTGAACCCACCAGCTGCTCTGCAGTAGAACGATAAGGCACTCTGATTCTATAAAGACTACAGCCTTGGAAACCCTATGAGGCAGTTCTACTCTGTCCTGTAGGATCGCTGTGAGTTGGAAATGATTCACCAGCACACAGTAACAGCAAATAAGCCACTGAACAAGTACGGTGAATATGGCTACACTGTTTTGAGTTACATTTCCTCCACTGGTCCGTGCCTTTCCTAGCCCTCCTATTGGAGTCCCTGGTGCCCTCCTCCTGTATGTCTAAGCATCTAATTCTACTCTGACCAGAGTGGAAAGGCCAGGAGCAGCCACAGTTCTTCCCACATGGAGATCAGGGTAGACCAGATGCCATCAGAGTTCAGTCAGAGCCAGACAAAGTCTACAGAGATATTTTATTTAGTTAGCACCGTATTTGCTTTTGCTTTATTTTTACATTTGAATTCCATTGGGAGAGGCCTGTACTCAGATGCCCCTACAGGCATTTGGGATTATGAGCCAAATAGGCCAGCTTTCCTCTGCTCCCACTATGCGGACCAGGCAGCAGAAGAGAGTCCCTGTCTTGGTCAACCCACCCAATGGGGGACAGAATCCTGAATCACACCCTGATACTCTGGTCTGGGACCCCATACTCTGCTTTGCTGTTTCTTATCCCCCTTTGGAATGTATCTTGTTGCTTTTATACTGTAGCTCAATAGGGTTCTATTGTGATTGGTCAAACTCCTTACCACTCTAATCCTGCAAGTCACTTCCCTGAGTACTCTCTTACCCTTGTCTTGCCAGGATGCTGAACTGAATCTTCTTGTCACAGTGCCCACCCAAACTTGGCACGCTGCCCCACCATCATACACTGCATCTTCTGATTGCTTCTGAAGAACCAGCCTCTGTAGGTGGGTTCATTTATCCTGGAGCTGCTTCCCCTTCCTCCCACCCTGCCTGTTCCTGAGGTCCCAGCATGCCCTGTGCCTAAACTCACCCTACTTATGGTGGCTTCTAAGCTTTATGCTTAGTGGTTTCAAATAAGGCTACATGGGTTGACACAGCCGACATTAAAAAAAAAAAGTGTGATGAAGATCAGAGTACAATAAAGTGAGCTTTGCTATTGATAAATCAGAAACAACCCATGGATTCTGACTGGTAACTAACCAAAAGATTGGAAGCTTGAGTCTACCCAAAGGTGCCTTGGAAGAAAGGCTGGTGATCTACATCTGAAAAATCAGCATTGAAAAGTCTGTGGAGCACAATCTTACTCTGACAGACACGGGGCTAGCCATGAGCTGGAATCAACTCAACAGCAATTGGTTTTACAGGTTTCAATTATGTAACAATAACTCCAAAATAGGAACAAACCAAAAAAATCCAAACTCACTGCCATTGAGTCAATTCTGACTCATAGTGACCCTGTAAGACAGAGCAGAACTGCCCTGCAGGGTTTCCAAGGCTGTAACTCTTTACAGAAGCAGACTGCCTCATCTTTCTTCTGTGAAGTATCTGGTGGGCACAAACCATTGACTTTTTGGTTAGCAGCCAAATGCTTTAACCACTGCACCACCAGAGCTCCTTAGAATAGCAGCAGCAATAACACATTACCCTTTCCACAACTTCCCCACTAACTGCAGCATTTCTGAAGTGGCAGAGCTAAGGAATGCCTGAGAAATGGGAACCTAGAAATAAATATTTGCTGGATACACAGATACTTAGGAAAACACAAACTCTACCATAGGTGGTGGGCAGAGTCTACCTGACAATTCTGGAAACCTGCAGTAGTTCTGCACCCAAACTGCAAAGGAAGTGAAGGATTCTGATGGAAGGAGTGGTGAAAAAGAAAGAAATATGCTAAAGATGTCAGAACAGTAACAAGATATTCTTTTTTACACCCACTCTCTTTATTGCACTTGGCAAAATAAACATTGAGGGACTGAAAATTGTGCCCAGAAGCCGAGTTTTGCATTTTGAGAAAAATCCTTGAGACAGTTGGCTTTTGATGTGTTTAGGTGTCAGCCGTGGTGCCTTTGTTTAACCCACTGGTTACTAGATTTTCTTGTTATTTTCAAGAATTTTATTTTTGTGAGGAGTGGCTATGAAAAATTAAGTTTTTTGAAGTGTCAATCAATCCAGAACATTCCATCAAAAATCTTACTGTAAGAGGAGCGTATATTTAAGCTCCACAAATGTTCACAACTGTTCTGCAGACTGCTGTCTGATCAAGCACGTGTAATTCAGTTAGAACCCTATTTTATCCTGTCTATCTCCTTCTCACTCCTCCCGCCCTCACCTCCCAAAACACTAAACCAGTCACCACCAAGTAGAGCCTGACTCATGGTGACCTCATGTGTGTCAGGGCAGAACCAGGCTCCCCAGGGCTCCAAGGCTGAGTTTTAATAGTAAATCACCAGGCCTTTCTTCCAGGTGGACTTGAACCTCCACCTTTCAGTTAGCAGCCTGGTGTGTTAACCGTTGCACCACCCAGGGACTCTACTGCTCCCACAGCCCCAGCAGTTGACCTTGGAGTTGGTATGAAGGCTGAAAACCTTACCAATTGTGGCCTGCACATTGGTTACCTCCCTGTGAAAGGTGGAGATGTTGAAGAAGCTGTTTAAGCTTATGGGAACCCAGGCAAAGGGCATCTGGTATTTCCCTAAATGTTGGCAGAAGGACTCTGCTTGAAATTTTAGTTTTTCAATCTTGTCTTTACTCTAGAGAAAAATGGAAAAAGATCATTTAAAAAAAAAAAAAAAAAAAAAAGCAATGCAGTATCAACCCCAAGTCTATAGCTTCTGACATGGATAAGACAGCCATCTCTGAACTCCTCTGGTAGTGCAATAGTTAAGCACTCAACTGCTAACCAAAAGCTCGGTGGTTTGAACCCACCCAGTGGCTTTATGGGAGAAAGCCCTGGTGATCTGCTCCCATCGTGAGTACAGCCTAGAGAACCCTATGGGGCAGTTCTAACTCTGTAACCCATGGGGTTGCTATGAGTCCGAATGGGCTCCATGGCATCTCACAACAAAAGCAAGCAATGAAATAAGCCAACACAGAAAACAAGACTCGACTAGGCCAGATGCCTAGCGGACAAGGAAAGATTTAAGAAAAAAAAACAAAAAAACCCACAGGAGCATTTAGAGAGAGGCTATATTCAATTAGCATAGTGGCTAAGGCACTTGACTGCTAACCAGAAGGCTGGCGGTTCAAACCCGCCAGCCACTCCTCGGAAAGAAGATGGGGCAATCTACTTCTGTAGTGATACTGTCTTGGAAACCCAAGGAGGGGTCGCTATGAGTCGGGTCCGACTTGACAGCACATAACAACAACAACAACAACAACAATATTCAATTAATAAATTACACCTTCAACTTAAAAAATAAAAAAAATCCAAGGCTTTTTATCTCAGCTAATCAATGAGTGCTTCTTATGGGGGTTAGCGATGTGATGTGGATTCACCAGGGGACAGGGGGACTCTGAGGCTAAAAAGGTAACATTTATCAAGCTCCCAGGCTAACCTGGTTGTGACAGTTAGAGTTGCGTGTCAACTTGGCTGGACCACAATTCTGTGTGGTTCAAGCAGCTGTGATGTGGGTTATTCCCATGATGAGATCAGATGTATACATTTTGAGCAGCCAATCAGTTGAAAGAGAGTTTCCCTAGGGGTGTGGCCTGCTTCCAATATATTTATGGACATCCTGGGAAAAAGAGACACTCTTCTGTGGATCAGAATCCTGTTGTTCTGCCTACAACTGCCCATGACCAAACAATCCACCATTTGGTCTGGTGATCTTGGATTCATCATTCATTGGAGTCAACAGCCCACAACCTTGAGCTCATCAGCCCCTGCAGCTACATGAGTTGGGAAAAGGCTCCAGCTTGAGGTTGGATCCAAGAACTTGAGACTTGCCAGCTTCTATAAGTGTGTAAGCCATTTTCCTAAGATAAATTTCTCTCTATATATATATATATAAGCTTTACTGGTTTTGTTTCTCTAGAGAACCCAGCCTAACACATTTGGTACCAAGAGTGGTTCTAGAGAGACAAAATCATAAGGATGGGCTTCCTAAATTGGTTCTCACCAATTGTGTTTTTGTTCTCCAATATTTTTAATCATAAAGGCACTGGTGACTCTGCCTTCATTAGTAAAGAAGTCCCTGTTAATCTGTGATGTGAGGTGACAACATTAATATGCAAAATAGCACCACCAATAGATAAAGTATTTTTGAGAAGTGAAGCTCTGGGTGATCGCATATTTGATATATTCTGCAATTCTGTCAGCATGAAGAGTATAAGGAAGCTGGCTGGTCAGTCCTACTTACACTAGACAAAGTGGTAAAAGAGCGAGATGAGCTCAGGGCTGCTGAGTCACAGCTCAAGCTCCACATAAAAGAACTCAATGTTTCCAGTTGTGCTCTGAAAGAAAGCCTTATTTCTTCTAGTAACAGAGCTGATATTGCCCAAAACCAAACCCAGATTCTTATTGTAAGGGTGGCTGAATTACAACACCAATTGAATTGCCAGCCCAGAATGGTGTCTGAAGTTAAAGTGAGAGCACTGATTGAGAACAAATTGGATCCTGAAACCTGGAATGGGGACATATGGGAAGACAGTCAGGAAGATGAGGATATGGAACCTGTAAATTCATTGAATCCCTCCCATCTGAAGGGATTACCATAAAACCATTATCCCCTCCACCTGTTGGATGGCATTAACCCAACTGTTCCTGCTGAATCATTGTCTGAAGTAGATGCCATGGAAGACATTGCTGAATGTTCTCAGAAACTGTCCCAACCACCCATTGTTGTTGCTAGACCTATAACAAGAGAGCCTCAAAAGGCAAAATACACAGTGTGACTGAGGAGGTGGTATGGTACACCCAAAAAGAGCTACTTGATTTTGCTAACATGTACAGACAGAAACCTGAAGAATATGTATGGGAATGGCTACTAAGGGTGTGAGATAATGGTGCCCACTAAGTACAGATTCTTCATTCAATGTTCCAGCTTGAGAGGTTAGGAAAGGATCTAATTGTTTATTTGCTTGGCTTACTAAAGCATGGATTATACAGTGGCCTACCTTAAGTCAAGTTGAAGTACCAGAACTACCTTGGTATAATGTAGAAGAAGGTATTCAGAGGCTTACGGACATTGGCCTGTTAGAATGGATTTATCAGATTAGAGCCCTAGAGCCAGAAATGGAGTCCAGAAGACATGCCTTTCACCAGTATGGTGAGGAATAAATTTGTGAAGGGAGCTCCAGCATCCTTGAATACTGCTGTGATTGCTACTTTATGTAAGCCGGATTTGACAGTGAGAACTGCCCTAATCAAACTAAGACACTTAATTACGATGGGGCTGATTGGACCCTGAATAGTAGGAGCCAAGTGGCAGCAGTTAATTGACAAAGACAAGGTGGGTGTGGTTACCATAATGGACAGAAAAGTCAAAACAGTAATCAGAATACTCTGACTCATGCGGAATTATGGCATTGGCTACTTAGGCATGGTATTCCTAGGAGTGAAATACATGGCAACCCTACTAAATATTTACTTGATCTGTATAGACAGAAGAATTCTAGGTCACATGAACAGCAGTCTAGGTTGAATGGCCAGAATACAGAGTCAGGCCTCTCAAACAATTCCCAGACTCGAGTCAGTTTACAGATCCACAGCCCTTTGAATGATGGGGAGGCTGGGTCCCCTTGAGGAAGGACCCCACTACGTTGCAAAAACTTTATAATGTCTATCTTTTTCCCAGCCTTCCCCAAAGGGATCAGAGGCCTTTTACAAGAGTTCACTGGGGAAAAGAAAATAATAGGACTTTTTGGGGATTACTGGACACTGGCTCTGAACTGACACTAACTCCAGGAGAACCAAAGCATCACTGTGACTCATTAGTCAGAGTGGGGGCATATGGAGGTCAAGTCATTGATGAAGTCTTAGCTAAGGTTCATCTCATAGTGAGTCCCCAAACCCATCTTGTAGTGATTTTCCCAGTTCCAGAATGCATAATTGCAATAGATATACTGAGCAATTCGCAGAATTCCCACATTGGGTCCCTGACATGTGCAGTAAGGGCTATTACGGCAAGTGTGGTGGTTACGTTTCTGGGTTAACTTGGCTGGGCCTGGCTGAGTGGCTGAGCAGTTGGTGGTAGTTATTCCCCATGATGAACTGGCAATCAACTCCATGGTGGGACCTACCACAAGCAGCTGAGGAGCTGCTTTAGGGATGTGGTCTGCTTCCTGTATATAAGAAGCAGCTTTGGGAATGGTCTCTAGTTTATGACACACTTGAACCCTGAATGTAGCTGTGTCACTATGCAGCAGACTGCCAAGCTCTGCTGACGTTGGGACTTAAAATGGACTTGAGTTAATGGCCTGCCATGTGGTTTGGTAACATCAAGACTGTGCCATTTTATTTGTCAACCTTGGGCCTGTTAGCCTCAGCATC